ACCTCCACCGTGGCTCCGCTTTCTAACGTGCTTCCTCAGGCTGGCTCTTATACGAAAGAGGCCTTGCTCGAGCTCCAAAAGAACACACGGACGCTTCCGTATTCTCGCCCTAGTGCGTATGCCGAGCCGAAGGTAGTGCTTAAGGGTTTAGATAGAATCATACCTATGCAGGAGCGGGAACAGGAGAATCTGAAGGATGTGGTCAAACAGGTTTCAGATTTGGACTTCGATGAGGAAGGGGAAGATGATCGTCCTGGAGATGGGTTCCATGATCAGGCGGCGATCGATGCTATTATTAGATCTAAGAGAGAGAAGATGAGTCAGCCACGTTCAGCACCGGCACCTGATTTCATATCACTTGATTGTAGTACCGCAAATCGTTCTGCTGTTGAAGTGGTTAGTGATGACGATGCGGATTTTCAGGGAAGTTTCATGGGTGCTAGACCTGACAAAGGTGATAAGAAAGGTGTGTTTGAATTCGGTGATGAAAAGCCTACAGCTAGAGAACCCACGAGAAGTAGTTTTTATGAGAATGATGATGATGATGAAGAAGAGAAGTTGTGGGAGGAAGAGCAATTTAAGAAGGGTATTGGTAAAAGTATTGATGAAGGTTCTAATAGGACTGTAAGTAGTAATGGCTTGCCTTTGCATCCTAGGCAGCAGCCACTACCACAACAGCAACCGCAGATGTATGCCTATCATGCTGGAATACCACTTGGTTCAATGCCTAATGTTTTTGTGCCCCCTACGATTGGTCCAGCTAGTAGTGTTGATACATTACCAATGTCACAACAAGCTGAGCTTGCGAAGAAGGCATTGCAAGACAATGTTAAGAAGCTTAAGGTATTGCTTTATGCTAGTGTCTTCTTTGCTAGTTGACTAGTTATGAGACTGATTTAGTTATTGATTTTATTTCTTATATTGGTTTCTGATGAACTGCATTTATTTTCAATTATTTGCCAGGAATCTCATGCAAAAACCTTATCCTCGCTTACCAAGACAGATGAGAATTTGACTGCTTCTTTGATGAGTATCACAGCTCTTGAAAGTACTCTATCTGCAGCTGGAGACAAGTATGTCTTCATGCAAAAACTAAGACAATTCATTTCTGTTATCTGCGACTTCATGCAGGTACGCTTTCATATATTGTTGTGGCTGTGGTCGTATACATATAGCTTATGTTGCAGGGTTGTCTCCTTTTACTTTTGAAATACCGATGGCTACTGCTTCACTTGACGTCTCTTCCTTTCATCTCATTTGACTGCATAGGATCATGAATATAGCATTTGTCTGTTTGCTCTTAATCTCCAACGAAACAAAGAAAAAATGAGCTCAACTATATTTTCATAGAATTACGTAGGTTTTCTTGGTGTATGTGTTCTTTGACACATGTAGTTAGATTCTGCTACTGGATGGATTGCCCTATGCGTAAAAATAGTTGCGAGGCAACGGCTGTTGGAATAGCATTCCTAATTCATGTTGTGATTTTTCTGTTGCAGGAAAAGGGTTCCTTAATTGAGGAAATTGAAGATCAGATGAAGGAACTTAATGAAAAACATGCTTCAGCTATACTAGAAAGGAGAATTGCCGATAACAATGATGAGATGGTAGAATTGGGAGCTGCCGTGAAAGCAGCAATGGCAGTTCTAAACAAACAAGGAAGCAGTACTTCAGTGATTGCTGCTGCCACAAGTGCTGCATTGGCTGCGTCTGCTTCTATAAGACAGCAGTCAAATCAACCAGTTAAGCTTGATGAATTGGGTAGAGATGAAAACTTGCAGAAGCGCAGGGAAGTGGAACAGAGGGCTGCAGCTCGGCAGAAAAGGCGAGCTCGATTTGAAAATAAGCGTGCATCAGCCATGCAGATTGATGGATCTTCTTTGAAATTAGAGGGAGAATCAAGCACTGATGAGAGTGACAGTGAGACTTCAGCTTATAAGGAAACCAGAGATAGCTTACTTCAGTGTGCTGATAAGGTCTTCAGTGATGCATCTGAGGAATATTCCCAGCTTTCTAGTGTGAAGGCGAGATTCGAGAGGTGGAAGCAAGACTATTCATCTACTTATCGGGATTCTTACATGTCTTTGTCCGCTCCTTCCATCTTTTCACCTTACGTAAGATTGGAGCTTTTGAGATGGGATCCTCTTCATCAAGATGTGGATTTCTTCGACATGAAATGGTATGCAAATTATGATATCCAACATACAATATTATCTGCATCCTCTTTCTTAACCTATCCTACCTAGTAGGAAGCAGTGTCCTATGTAAGCTAAATTCATTGTTTACTTTGTATTTTTGAAATTTATCTGACTCCTGAAATCTGTCTTCAGGCATGGGTTGCTATTTGATTATGGGAAGCCAGAAGATGGGGATGATTTTGCACCGGATGATACTGATGCTAACCTTGTCCCTGAACTAGTGGAAAAGGTTGCGATTCCTATTTTGCACCATCAGATAGTTCATTGTTGGGATATACTTAGCACCCGGGAGACAAGGAATGCTGTTGCTGCTACAAGCTTGGTGACAAATTATGTTTCTGCTTCAAGTGAGGCCCTAGCAGAATTATTTGCTGCTATTCGTGCTCGTCTTGCTGAAGCCATTGCAGCTATTACGGTATGAATTTGCATTGGTTACATCTCTTGCTTTTTTCCCGATGAAACTCATTGAGTCTGTTATGAGTATGCATAGTGGACTAATTATATCCTCTGATTATTTCTTTGTTCTCCAGGTTCCAACATGGGATCCTCTGGTATTGAAGGCTGTACCTAATGCTCCACAAGTTGCAGCATATAGGTTTGGAACGTCAGTCCGTCTAATGAGAAATATATGTATGTGGAAAGACATCCTGGCACTTCCAGTGTTGGAGAACTTGGCTCTGAGTGACCTTTTGTTTGGAAAAGTTGTACCTCATGTCAGAAGTATTGCATCAAATATCCATGATGCTGTTACAAGAAGTGAAAGGATCGTTGCTTCTTTGTCTGGAGTGTGGACAGGATCAAGCGTCACAAGAACCCACAGGTAACAATAATTTCTTTGAACAGTCAAATCAGAACCCACAGGTAACAATAAAATGTTTCATCGTAGTGAAACATTTTATTTGACATCTTGTGATGTTGCATATCGTTTTCTATTTCAATTATAATCCGTCTCATCAGATAGTAAGCTATTGTTTTTCATGAGTGCTAATGCGAAAATAAGGAAAGTGACTCTGTCGAATTGGGACTAATATGTGTACAATACATCCTTCTATTTTGCAAAGTCTAGGCCCTTATCTCAAAATCAGGAGTATTGGTCAGGCTATTGTCTTTATGTTATGCTTTCCGGAATCTCATTCGCCATAGACAAATCATCATCTTTGTTTAGCGTGTTTTTTCTTGTTTAGTATCCACATCTCATACTAAAAAAATTTATTTGTTTTTGCAGTCGTCCGTTGCAACCGCTTGTGGATTGTATTCTTACACTTAAAAGAATTCTCGAGAAAAGGCTTGCCTCAGGACTGGATGACGCTGAAACCACTGGTCTTGCCCGTCGGTTAAAGAGATTACTAGTCGAGCTCCATGAACATGACCACGCCAGGGAAATTGTCAGAACATTCAATCTGAAGGAGGCAGTTTGATATATAGTCGAAAAACTGGAAAATCGACTCAGAAATCCTTAACCTGTTATCAGGTACACAATTCTGGAGTCCAGGAAACTGAATATTTCCCGAGGAATTGACATTTGCGGATGTATTAGGTTAGCAAGTAATCCACCAAAAAGTGTTAGATGTCGATTTTATTGGAGTCCATCTTCAGAAACAAAAGAGTTTCAAGTACTCTAGCTTCTCTCGTGCAGTGTAAGTAACATCTGAGCTTATAGAAACTTATATTAAGAATAGATGCTTAAGTATCGCAATCTGTATGAGTTTTTAGAAAGATTTTAGCAAGGACAATATTCATATTAATATAATCCACAACTTTGTATTGTCGTGCTGCATTTATTTCTATTACAAGCTGTCTTGCTTTATGGCAAAAGACATTATTTTTTTTTGTTGGAAACAAATGTCTTTCTGCTATGAACAACTTGTGAGTAAGTCAAAAGAACATAGGAAATTAAAACCATTTGGAAAAATTTAGTATTGAAAGTTGGTCTTTGAAGAAAACATCTTAAGGAGTAGCATTAGAGTCATTTTCTTCATTTGAATTTTCCTTATCCGAAGAAGATTCTGCTGTCCTCTCAAGTTCCACCATTTTCTCAAGCGAGGCTATGTCTCCAGCTTCACCAAGCGCGTGTATCCGCAGCTTCTCTGCGTCTTCACTGAAATTTTTGTAGAGATGGGCAAGTTAAGGAAGGCACGTTGTAAAGACGTAAGATTCTTATTCTTCAATTGGAGAGTTAAGTTGTCTTACTCTGTAACTCCAAATATTTCCTTGACGATTAAGGAGTTGTCTTTTAAGCAGAATTCAGGAAGCTGTTGAATAGAGTCAGAAATGTCATCACAATAGAGAATGAAGTCAGGAAGCTCTCAAAGTAGAAGAATTTGAGTTTACATATTCATTTACCTCAGAAAGATAGTAAATTTTTCCGAAAAGCACCTGCACGGCGAGTTTTCTCTTGAATCCTTTCTCTGTAAACCCTTCCATTTTCATCACTACAGGACCTGCAAATCCAAATATGCCAAAGAACAACATTAAAGAAGATTGATTGCAGCGGAGAATCTGAATTGAAAGAGGTTAGGTTCTGTGTTTTTGACCTTTTTCTTTAACAATACGACGAGAGATTTCATTCAAAATCGCAGGAATCTGAGAATCATTCAAACCAGAAGTTTTTCTTAGATGAATGAGATCTTCAACAAGGTCGGGGTTAAACGGTTTCTCATTCAACGCATAACGAATGTATTTCCTCAATATCTCCTCCATGTTAAACTCTGTCTGGGATTCAGAGATATTCTCATGTCAAATTCTCTCATTCAAACAAAAGAGCAAAAACCAAAGTATATAATATAGTCTCATACCTTTTGTTCAAGTGCCTTAAGCTCAGAGCTATGCACTGTTCCATCTTTCTGTAACAATTCATCTATAGATCTGCAAAGCATAGCATTCTGATTCACCTGAAGAAAGATTTATAAATCAATAAAACCAAAATCGAATCAGTTCTTTGTTCAAATCAAATGATCACAATAGAGAGTGAGAGAAGTGGAATCAGAGACCAGTTTCTTGCGTTGAGTTTTAGGAGAAGAGAATTTCTGAACGGTTTTGACAAAGGCAGTGACGAAAGTTACTCCGGCGTAAGCCAACGGAACAGCGAGCATCCATGGCAATTTGCTACTTCCAACTCGAGGTCCTGGAATCGCCTGAGTCACCGATCCAGTAAACTCGACTAGGTCTAATGCTTTCTCCTGAATCCACAACATA